TAGAAAACTTCATAAAATGCTTATGTAGCCTCCCCAGCGGTCACGAGTCTTGGCAAGAAAGTGTGAAGACGTGACCAGCTGCACATGTTTTACCTAAAAGCTTGCTATATAAAGGATGCTTTCTGGATGGCTGGGGTGAGGAGGATCGAGTCTTGCAGCCACCTGAGACAGCACTTCTGTTTGTAAGTCCCTATCACATATTTCTCTCTGAGAAACTGGATTTGTTAACCTCTTTGGCTCCTCAGCTCCCTCTGCCTTTGGGTTTGTATAGCCCTGCTAGCCATGGAACAATGGCTTACAAGGGCCAACACGGGTAGCCTTCTCCCTCTCACATCCCTCTGACGACCTCATCTTCTACTACCAGCCACCTAGCTTACACCACCTCAGTCACTGCTTGCCCAGGGCCTTTGCATTTGCTGGGCTCTCTGCCAGATACCTGCACAGATGCTGTCTTACCACCTCAGTTCTCTGCCCCAATGCTACCATTATCTGTGAGGCCTTTCCAGATTCCATACGTGAAGAGATTCCCTTATGCTCTACTGCAATGCCTTCTTTCTTTCCTTAATAGCACTGCTTATAGTCTGTGCTTATTTTACATGTCAGTTCAAAATGTTTTCCTAGTGTGCAACACAATGCCTGGCACATAGGAGGTTAATAGGTATTTCTATTTTTTGAGACAGAGTCTTGCTCTGTCACCCCAGGCTGGAGTGTAGTGGTGTGATCTTGGCTCACTGCAACCTTCACTTTCAGGCAATTCTTCTGCCTCAGCCTCCTAAGCAGCTGGGACTCCAGGTGAGAACCATCACACTGGGATAAGTTTTGTATTTTTAGCAGTGATGGGCTTTTGCCATGATGGTGAGGCTGGTCTTGAACTCCTGGCCTGAAGTGATCCTCCCATCTTGGCCTCCCAAAGTGCTGGGATTATAGGTGTGAGCCACTGTGAGTGACCTTTTAATAAATATTTAGTTGACTGAGTGAGTTGAGGTTAAGGATGCAGGAGGGAGCAGTTGCCCTCCAAGAGAGCAGTCCCCAACCTCTTTGGCACCAGGGACTGGTTTTGTAGAAGACAATTTTTCCATGGCTGGACGGCGGGGATGGTTTCAGGATGATTCAAGTGCATTACACTTACTGTGCACTTTATTCCTATTATTACATTGTAACATATAATGAAATAATTACACAACTCACCGTAATGTAGAATCAGTGGAAGCTCTGAGCTTGTTTTCCTACAACTAGATGGTCCCATCTGGGGGTGATGGGAGACAGTGACAGATCATCAGACATTAGATTGTCATCAGGAATGTACAGCCTAGATCCCTTGTTTACACAGCTCCCTCCTGCATCCTTAACCTCAGCGGCTAATGCCGCCGCTGATCTGACAGGAGGTGGAGCTTAGGCAGTAATGCAAGCAATGGTGAGCGGCTATAAATACAGATCAAGCTTTGCTGGCTTGCCCGCCACTCACCTCCCACTATGCAACCTGATTCCTAACAGGCCATGGTCCATGGGCCTGGGATTGAGGACCCCTGCTCCAGGACTTACTTCCACCTGAGAGCTTAGGCAGAATGCTTGCAGAAACCTGATATGCAAGGTGAAGTGAAAGGTGGTGGGAGGAAGGGAAGTCCGGTGTATATGTGAGCGTGTGTGTATGCTCGTGTGCCTGAGGCTGGGTGTTTCTCCAGGACCCCTGTACCTCCCAGTTCCTGGCCTGGATGGAGCCTGGGCAGGACAGAGGTATGTCTGAGTCAGGGTCTAACCAAAGAGGTAAGAAGTTGTGCCAGAGGCACCAGGCAAAACTGGAAGGGATGGGACGGAGGGCATGTGAATGGGAACTATTAACTCTGCCTGGGGATGGGAGGGTCAAGGCTTTGCTCTAGAGAAGGGTGGGCAGTAGAGTTGGGCCTTGAAGAGTGAGTAGGAGTTTGCTGGGCCATGACAAAAGAGGAAAAGCATTTTGAGCTCGAGAGGGCTGAGGGCTATGAAAAGGTGGACTAGCTCAAAGGATGCTGAACTGTCAGCTGCAACAGAGGAGGTGAGACAAAGTAGTCAGTAGCCTGAGGTCAGAGAGGCTTTAAAGGCTAAGTGGAGGACCAGGAACTCCATCCTGAGGGCCCTAGGGCCATGGAAGAGTTGACGCAAGGGAATGAGAGATTCCTTCAACTGCCCTGAAATGGGTCTAAAAATGCTTGGGAGGCAAAATCCCAGACACAGTGCTAGGTAGGATGTGATGGCTGGGGTAAGAGTGTAGATGATGACATCCATGTCTCTGGTTTGAAAGCCACTGAGGTAAGGAACTGGGCCCTGGGGTTGGAGGGATATAGCAGATTTGGGGACAATGATGAGAGTTGGTTCTGGCCAGGTAGGCTGGAGCCTGGAGCACTCTGAATTGGGGATCCTGGATCTGGCTCCCCATCCTGGAGAGAGACTCTGATGTCCCCTGTCTCAGTACTGGGACTCTGGGCCATACAGCCCTTGTCCCACGAGGACCCTGTCCCAAGCTTTTCATGGTCTACTATTCTCAGGCTCCCTGGGCAGAAGAGGTAGGCTGGGAGACTCGGTAGAGGCTGGGCCTTGAAGCCAGGGAAAGGACAAATCAGGCTGGCAGCTTTGAATACCACTCCCCTTAGCTGCCCTTCGAGCCACCCCCAACCAGGATGCCCAGGCAGGGGATGCTGTAGTTGCTGCAATCTTGCAGAAGTGGAGCTGTGGATCTCGGGGTAGCCTACAGTGACACGGAGGCTCTTGGGTGGGTAGTTCCTTTGAGGAGAAGGGGTTTTTGCGTGTCCTGGGATTAAGGTGAGTACCAGCGGCTAGCGGATCTGTGGTGGCCAGTGGGAGTGGAGAGTCAAGTTTCTGCAGGTGAGTGGGGACGAGAAGTGAGGGCTGGTGCCCACGGCTCCTGGTATTTTTCCACCCACTCCTGTGCCTAATAACGTGTCCCTGGCTGCCAGTCATCCTCTCCTTTACCACCTATGACCAGGTGGGGCTGGGATCAAGTCTGCCGAGGCAGGGTGGGGAGGCAAGGGCCAACTCCTCCACTGCCTCACCCTATTTGGGTGTGGCTGCAGGGAATGTGAGTGAGAGCATGTGTGTGTACTGTGTGTGTGCATGCACCTGTGCAGCGCCACAGCGGGGCGCCCTTGAGGCCTCACCACGCACACTGTCTGACCCCCTGTGGAGCAAAAGGAGACAAGGGCCTGACAAGGTCTGGGGTTACCTGCGGGACAAGGACCCCTCCTTACCTCACTGCTCTGTGAGCACCGCCCACTGCGCTGAACTGTGCTCCTTCAGGGAAGGGAGAAGGAGGCAAAAGAAGCCTTTAGAAGGAATCTCTAGCACAAATTTAACCACAAACAGAAGATCTATGAGAAGAAAGGAAAATAAAAACTTAGGCGAAGACAGACACAACATCTGAATAAATGCACAGGAAGTGCATATCACAGTCCGCCCTGGAGGAAAAGACTAATGCCAGTTCTTCCCAAGCAAGTGTCCAGATTCAGGGCAACCCCGTCACAGTTCAAAGAGGTTTGCTTTTCCAGAGCCTGAAGCATGCAGTCTCAACTTCTGACAACTGGAAATGTATAAGAATGCTTCGACATGTTTGTAAATGACCAACAAGGAGGAGAGACTGGCTATTAAACTCAGTAGTAACTATTCAGAAACAGGAAAATTGATCAGATAACTAGAATCCAGTAACAAAGATAAGTACAAAATTAGGAAAAGCTCCTACCAATCATTAAAAAGAAGTTAAATAAGCCTCAGAAAAAATGAGTGAAAGGTGGGTAACTTACACAAGAACCGCTCTTTTGAGAGTAAGGACCACTCTGTTCCCTTAGTACTTGGCACCCAGCAAACACACCATAAATGCTCAATGACTGAATGCTCATCACTGGTAATCAGAGAAATGCAAATTAAAACAACTGCATAGGATATTTTACTTAACAGACTGTCAAAAAGTGAAAAAAGAAACATATCGTGAGTTGGGAGGAGCACGAGGAAATGTGTACTATCTCATGATGGTGATGAATATGAATTGGTAACAGTTTTTTGTGGTGTGCCGTAGCACAAAATTGAAAACAGCACAAATGTGCATTACTCTGGGCTCACTAAATAGGCACAGAATAAAACGAGTCAGTTTCTTGTCCTCAGCAAGTAAACTAGAGAGTAGATCCACGCGACCTGGAGTCTAGGACACTCCTCCAGTGTGAACAGCCACAATGCACCGACGATGTGTACAGCCGGGGCGTGCAAGGCCGAAGGCAAGCCACCACGCGGTAAATGCCGGGACTCCGAGAAGGGGTGGAATTTATTTAGAGGAGGGAGCCTTTTGGAGGGCAAAGCAGCCCCTGGGCAAGTGTTCTTTTCTTTCTAAACCCTCCTTCTCGTCTCTGTCTAGAAAATTAAGCGCGCCCCCTGGTGGGGTAGAGAGGAAGGCGAAGAAAAAGGGGTCTTGGAGGAGAATAAAGTGTGCGTGGGTGGAAGAAACCGGAAGAGAGAATGCCAGGAAATGTGGACGCCCCACGGCGGCCCGGGTGATCTCCATGCTCAAGTCACGCTCTCCAGGGGAGTGACTGCTCCTGAGGCTGCAAGGGGCCGCCTCAGCTAGTGCCGATGATGGCTACAGAGTTCTTTCTCGAGCTCCCCCCACCACCTTTGCACACACAGCTCCCCCACCTCCCCCCGCCCCCGCCGTGTAGAGTTCGTGCCTTCCTCATCTATTAGTTCTCAGCTATCACCTTCCCTGGCCCCACCCTGGTCAGGCCTTCTGTTGCCGCGGCGCACGCAGCACCCCAGACCTCGCCTTCGTCTTCGTATTACTAGAGCTGCCCCATAGTGATTCAGGTCTGCCTTCCACCCAGGCTGTGGCCCTCTTCAGGGCAGTACGGTACCTGTTCTGCTCATCATTGCACCCTGAGCCCAGGGCAGGCCTGGCATCTGAGCAGATACTACTGCACTCAGAACCATGGCCCTCGCAGGAGGGTGGCAGGCTTGGTGGCAGGTTCAAGGCCGAGCAGAGGAACTTTATTAGAGGGACAGGGCGAAACATATTTACACGGGCCAAGCAGGGACCTTAAGAAGCAGGGGCGGGAGCGGAGTCCCAGCTCAGACGAGTTCCACCTTGGCGTTGGGGTACACCGCCACCACATCGTAGCCCTCGGGCGGCTTCACGCGCGCCTTGGCGTGACTCTCACAGTAGAGCCGCTCGTCCAGAAAGAAGTAACCACGCTGCTTGAGGTTCAGGCCGCAGTCGCTGCACATGAAGCACTCGGGATGGTAGAGCTTGTCCCGCGCCTTGACGATGGTGCCCCTGATGAGGGGAAGGAGAAAGGACAGTGTCGAGTGACTGCCGGGTTCGCGACGGCGCCCGCATCCAGGGCCCTGGAGGGCTGGGGTCCGGGAGGGGCAGCGGGGGCGGGTACTCACACGATGCCGTGGCCGCAGCGCGTGCACTCGGGCAGCCCCTGCAGGCCGCTCAGCGGAGCGCCCAGCTTGCCCGCCGTGGGCTTGAGGTTCCGGGGGCCGCCAGGCCCGGGCCGCTCTCCTGAAACCCGGAGCGTAGATGGCATGAACGGGGTGAGGAGGTCAGAACTCCATGTCTGCGGGGTGTTTGGTTGGGCCCCATTTCCGGGGCCATCGGCACCGAGACTGGGGAACTGGTTTGGCGGTCGTGGGGTGAGGGGCAGCGACAGGGAGTGGAGTGGGAATCAGGAAGCGAAGGCGTAGCAAGGGTGTGGGACCCGGCCGGCGGCAGAGACCGAGGAGGGCGGGTGCTGGGAGGTGGGATGTGGCGTAGCTAGGGGGCAACAAGGGCACCGCAGGGAGGGGAAAGGCAGGTGGGGACACGTGGCAGGAGTCTTACCGCCCTCGCCGGCCTCCAGCATGCCCTGCAAGTAGCGGAAGGAGCCTGACTGCTTGGGCTCTGCAGCCACGGGCTCTGCTGACTCCCGTAGCATCCTGTACACCTCTGAGCCCAGGTCGACTCTGCAGTCCCGGCTCCGCGGGAGGCCCCTGGTTGGGTCAGCGCTGGGAGGGAGAAAGAGATAGAGGAGGGACAGGCATGCAGTTCCAGCTTTCACTGTGCACTCAGGGTCTGGTGAGGTTTATGAGTCATAATGCAACCAGCTGAGACCCAAGGATCAAGTGTCAGGGGTCAGGATGGGACAGAGTGAGATTTGAGGGATCAGGGGTTAAGATCGGTTCTGGGCATGGCACCACAGGCATCTCTGTGTTACCTGGGGTGTGGAGACACATGCAGGGTGCTCATCTGGGCTGGCAGGGTGGCCTCGCTGCTGCCATTGTGAGGGACTGGAAAGTGAGGGAGTTGTCCGTATGGAGATCCCAGGCTTGGTCTGCCATCTTCTGGCCCAGTCCCGCCTGAGGGCCGCCTGCTGGTTGTTGGACTGCCATCCTGTGAGACAGAGGCCTAAGGCACTGGGAGACCCTCTGACCTCTGGCCATTCCTTGTCCACCCCACCTCTACCCTGCTTTGTTGTGCCAGGTGGTGGATGTCAGCTGGCCACCTCTGCTCTGGTGCCTCTGGCCTGTGGTGCTTAGCCAGGGAAGGGATTTCCAGGGAAGGGTAGGGCCTGGGGACTGGTTCTGCCCTTGCAGAAATGAGAAATGTCCATAGAAAGTCAGACACAAAAACCTGAGCAGCTCAGACTCAGCCTGGGCTTGTGAGCCCTGCAGTGGTTCTGCCCACCACCACTCATGAAGGGATAGTACTAGGGCAGGCCTATTCCAAGAAGCCTTTTAAGGCCAGTGTGGCTACAGCAGGGTATGTGGCCTGCTGGCAGAGGTAGTCCTGGTGCCAAGCCTTCTCACCTGCCTGAACTGTGGTGGGTACTGGGTGGGCCCACGGCTAGGAACTCAAAAAAGGTAACTCTGTCCTGCAGCCAGGAAGGGCCCTTGATTGTTGTGTATCCAAGACCCTTTGGGCAGGCTGAGGCTCGAGTGCCATTGTGAGGTCAGCCCCTTCTGGTCCTGCTCCTGTTCCCCATTTCCTGCTTTCCAGGCCACAATGAGAAGCCTTCTGCAGGCACAGCAGATGAGCGGCAGAGACCAGGGTAGGGCTCAAGGCTCTCTACCTCACTACCAACAGCCAGTCTGGTGCTCATGGCTGAAACAATTTGGGGAGGGGTGCTCTGAACCTGCCCCCTCAGACATGAGGAGGGGGCAGTATCTCTGTGGGTATGGGTCTGAGTGGGGACTGGGGATCTCTGTCCTTGCAGAGTCCAGAGCTGTGCTATTCCCAGCTTGCAAGTGCACACAAGCACACCCACAGCAATGTAAACAGAGGCATGCATGTTCTCACAAGCATGTTTTGAAGACACACACACACATGCATAAGGCCAACACATATGCACTTGCCAGTCTATTTACACACTACTAACCACACGTATATGGTTACATAGACTTGGAGCCAGCACTGGTCACCCTGGGGATGGCCATGGTGGCCTCCATGGCTGAGACTGGGCTGGCAGGCAGAGCAGCCTGATTTTAGGGTGATGCCTGAGTCCAGGCCATGGGGTTAGTCTTAGCCTCAGCCTGGGAAGGGACATGTAAACCTCCTCTCTGCTCTACAGTGTGGACAGAGAGCCCAGTGTGGACAGGAAAGGGTGCCTATCGTAGCAGGAAGAGCCCTGGTTTGGACTTAGACAGCTCTGAGGCATAGTTGAGCCTGTGGGGTTCTGCCCTGACTGTCTCCTACTTTTTGCAGGGTGGGAACTTGGGGAATGGGCAGACCAGCAGTTGGGTGGGACCCCTCCATTTCTCCCAACCCATCAGGCAAAGAGGAGGGTCTTTCTGCCCAGGTGGCCCCCCATCAATGCAGCAGTGACAGGAAGACCCCTATCCGCATCAGGCCCAACAAAAGCCCCTGAGAAACCTGAGCACTCTCATACATGTGACTGTGGAGCAGGCAGGCAGGCAGGCCTGGCCTCTAATGGGTACCAGATGGTCTGTGGCCAGTGGGGGTGGGGCTGGGCCTCCAGGCAGAAGCTTTGGTGGAAGGGAGGAGTTGGAGGGACTGGGACTGGGAGGAAGGAGGCCCTCACTCACTCCTGCCCAGCAGGGTGCGGAGGTCCACTGCAGGGTTGTCAGAGCCATTGCCCCTCCCACGGCCACCCATGCAGCCGCCTCTTTAGGCCTGAACTCAGTGGCCAGGACACACATGGTTACCTCAGTTTTAGTCTGAGTCCCAGAGTTATCCCCTAACTGGGCAAGTCATTTCACCTCTCTGAACCTGTTTCTTTATCTATGAGCTGGAGAATGTGATGGTCTCCACGTCAGGTTCCTTGTAGAGATGAAATAAGACAATTGCACAGTGCCTGGCACAAAGCACATACTTGTTGGATGAATGGCTTTCAGGGGAATTCCTGAGCCCACAGTCCTGGATTTTCCCCCTCTGTGGATGGTGTGCCTCATACCATATGCTCCTCCACTCTGAGGACCAGTCTGCTGCCTACTTTGTTGTTGAAACTTTGGTGGATTTTTCAGCAGAATGGAGGTACCTACCTGCTTTGGGACACTCAACTTGGATGGAGGCAGGCACTGAGTTCAGATGAACAGGTGCCATCTCCTAGAGGCTCAGTTCCAGTTCTCTGCTGGTCTGGGGAGGACAGGCTGAATGTGCAAGGACTGCCTGCCCCACCTGGCTTGCTTCTCCCCATCACCTGGTTCTGAGCATAATTGCCACTCCCTCCAGAAAACCCTGCCTTATTACTAGCCTTCCTCCACCCTGGGCTGTGCCAAGTGCCTCCTGTGTTCCCACAAAAGGCCTGGGAGAAGGAGCTTCTCCTATGGCCCCATGGGGAAGGTGGTCCTGAAGCTCCAGCTAGCCCTGTCCCATCCCACTCAGGGATGTGTGCCAGGGCACTTTATGCCACAGGGCCAACTGTGCTTTCCTCCTCCTCCGATGGCTCCAGCTCGCTCCACCCCCTCCCCAACACCCCGACTCAGGCAGAGGGTAGGAACAGCATGGGGACAATGGGCCCTGTGTCTGTGTTAGCAAGGACTCAGCCCTGCAGGGGCGGGGTGGGGTGTTTTTGTCACCACCCATGGAGCCCATGACCTTTTAAGTACAAAAGTGGGGCAGCAGCTGAGGGGCTGCCCTGGTGCTTGTGGAAACTGCTTCCTTCTCCAGTCTGAGCCTCTGGCAGCCTGGTCTTCAAGGGAGTCAGTGAGAATAAGTGTGGGGGAATGGGGAGCTGCTCTACAGTCACCAGCACCCCAGGCCCACCGGCCCTGAGCCTCTCCTGGAAGACTAAACCCCCTCCCATCCCGTCCTATCCATCCTGGCACTGCTGCCTCTGAGGGAGGCTGGGCCTTACACATGAGCTTGGGGCCCACACCATGCTGCTCCCCTCTGCCTGGCCCGTGGCAAGCCTGGCTTATTTGTCTATGCCAACATCTACCCCTGCCCCTAAGGTCTGGGGTCCGTGGGGCCACAAGAGCAAGTTTCTGAGACACAGATATGGCCATTAATCCCTGAGGTCCAGGATAGAGAAGCCCAAGAACCTCTCTGTAGCCCTGCCCCACCACCTCATCTCTTGCCTCTGTCCTCTCATTCCTACCATCTTGCCCTTCCTTCCCCTGGACCTTTCTTTTCTTTGAACCTGAGGTACGAGAACTCGCCTCTGGGCCACACTTCCTCTTCCTGTACCCATTTGCCTGCTTTGCCCTTCCTAGGCCTTCAGGTCTTGGCTTTAATACCCCTTCCTCCAGGAAGCCCTCTTTGACTCCTTGTCTGAGTCAAGTGACTACTCTGGGCTTCTTTGGTCCCTGGCTTCCCCTAGCCCAGAACTTCTAAGTACCTTTCCCCTGACAGAATGGGGACTGCCTGGCAGGTGGTAAGCCTCTGGCTTCAGGGATGTCAGCCAGACAGGGTAGGGGATAGGACAAGATGGGATTGTGGTAGAAGGTGAGGGAGAAGCCAGGGCACATCCTTCCCTCTGGTTCAGTGAAGGCTCTCCTTGCCTTGGCCCCTTTTCTTCCAGGTTGACAGGGTGGACAAAAGTATTCCCGTAGGCCATGGTCTTACATGCTGGGACCTACGGTTCTGGCTCTATCACAGACCATCCCTGTCTCCTTGCCCAAACTCTGTGGCCCAGAGATGGCTCTGGATAATCCCCACTTGGCTACTCCTCATGCCATGGCAAAACAAGGCCCTAGACCAGCCTGGCCTCCTCACTCTTCTTGAGGACAGGGCCAGAGATATGACTTCTGTTAACACACAGAAAGGTGACTGGGCAGACAGGCCTGCATCCTGAGTTCTGCTAGAAGCACCACGGGATGGCCAGCAGAGAACTTCAGGCTTGGATAGGGCACCCCGAGGAGTGTCCCATAGCCTGAGGTCACTCCACAGCCTGAGACTGCCACTAACCTCCCCCCGCTGCAAGCACAGTGACTTCTTCCTAGTCTGGCATCACTGGGCACCAGAGTAAAGTCCAGCTGGGTGTGTGATAACCCCAACCAAGGCCTAGCCCAGCTCCTGGCCATCATAAGCACCTTGGTCCAGAATCCAGGATTGCCTGGAGTAGAGACAGAGTCCACAACAGGTGCTCATCTGAGGAACAGGGAATGAGGTATGGGCATGGTGCAGAGAAACCTTCTGCTTCAGTCTCTTGTCTTTTGTATCTGAGAGCCCCGGTGCGGAGACTCATTGTAGGTGAACCTGCATGCTGTCCTCTCTGCCCTGGGCTCACTCAGCCAGGCCAGGCCAGGCCAGGCAGTGTCTGTACATACCTGGGCCTCAGGGTTGATGTGGATCCTGTGTGCCTGAGCCTTGCTGTCATCAGGGGCACTGGGCCAGCTCCTGCCCTCAGGCCTGCAGCAGAAATTGTGATGGTCAGATATGTTTCCTACCATGCCCACCATGCCCGGGAGCCAGGATCAAGATGGGCTGGGCTCTGGGCTAGTGCTCTACAGGTAGAAAGACACCACTCCAGTGCTTTCCGCTATACTGCAATGGTGACTGTTGTGGCAATGAACCACAACACTAGATCTGCCATCCTCCTGGAGCAGGGCTATATGCTTCCATCCCCAACAGCTCTGCCCAATCCCTCTCTGGTCTTCTTCCTGGAGATGTTGCAACAGAGGCTCTGCAGCTTCCCCACACTTCCACCCTCTTCGTGGCCTACAGAAGCTCAGCTCAAAGAGGCCCAGCTCACAGCACGGCAAGCCAGGCCTCACAGATTGACCAGCTAGGAGCCTATCCACTCATCCCCTGGGTATCTACAGCCTCTGGTGGGCTGTGGGGTCAGGCTTCCATCAGCTCTGGGGGAGGTGGAATGGAGGCTGTGAGGGGTGTGTCTTTCCTTCTGCTGCTGCCTCCGGCAGAGTCATCAACGAGTCTGCCCAGCCCAGATGGGAAACAGGCCATTAGGAAATTCCTGCTTCACCATAGAAACCAAAAGCCAAACACCACTCAGGAGGGAGAAAAACATCGTAAACCTGCCATAAGCAGGGCAGGCAGGCCAAGAGGCTACATGCCTGGACCCCAGCATTGTCACTCAGTAGCCCTGTGAGAAGGCAGGCCGGGAAGGGGCATGGACACTGGACTGGCAGGTGGGTGTGAAGTGAGCCTGGTTAGACCAAAGGGGAATAATGTCCTCCAACTCACCCCAAGAGGCCTCCTGAGGCTTCTCGAGGTATCACTACTGATCTAGCAGCTTACCCTTGCCTCTCTACACCTTCAGTAGAGGGTTTTAATAATCCGTCTACGCCTATGGTCCATACTCACTCTGTACTTCCTCGCTTTTGCCCCTTCTGTAGTCCCTTGCAGGCTACCTCTCTACTCCACAGCCTTCCAGGCCCTGGCCGATAGAGCTCTGCTGCCCCAGGGCAACATCAGCCCCATAGTCTCTGTCTCTAACCCTCTTAACCAGGCTCCCAAGTGGCTACTCTAACTCACAGCTCTAACTGTGGCCTCTACCTACTCAGAGATCCTCTGGAATAAAGCTGAGATATCTTGTGTGGCTATTTGGCCTTATACTTCCCTGAAGGTCTGCTCAAAAGAGCAGTACAAGCCTGAGGTTTAAGGGTCAGAGGGCACAAAGTACCCAGAGCCATTAACGTGGTTCAGTGCATCAGATCAGAATGAAGGGCTTAATCATGTGTCATCCCCCATCCCAGGCTGGGATCTTAAAATGACAGCCAAAGGGTAGGCCGTGCAAAGGTACCTTGGACCACATGTGATGGACAACAGGGACTCTATTGGTGGCCTCACTGTTGGAGTTGATGTCAGGAAGGTCCTGGACCAATAGAACATGCCTAGGAAGTATGGTTTTGCTTGGATTGTTGGATGCCTGGCTTTGGGCTCAAAGCAAAATAAGCTCAGTGGGGAAGCTGGGCCTTTGATACACTTTTCATTCTGTGGGGAAGTCAGTGGGGGATTAGAGCTCTCTGTATACAAGAGGGCACATAGGGAAGCTGGTTTTAGTAGAACCCTGGGAGTGAGAGCACAGAGTAGCTCGCTCTAGCCAGCTCACCAGGCTGATTCCCTGCAGAGCCCTTGCCATGTATCTGTGTGTTGCGGGGACAGGGAGGAGTGTCTTTGGGGTTTAGGCATAGGTCCTGGCATAGCAGGCAAGATAGGGAGCAGAGTCAAAAAGCTTACAAGTGGGAAGGTGTCCAGGAGAAGAAATGTTGGCTCTGAGGGTCAAGGTGGCCCTCATATCTTGATCCCCCAGAGTCTGCATGTGTGAGGGTTGGAGATGGAGGCTACAGGGCAGGACTCAGATTTTCACTCTGACTGAGCAGGCCTGTTACATCATCGTCACTCAATGTCCAGTTCACAAGATAGTCCCTAATTTTGATTGAGGATATTATGGGCTCAAGAGATTAAATCACTTGCTGGAGCACAGCATAGTTCTCTCTCCCTCTCTCTCTTTTATGTGTAATTTTATGTGTCAACACAGCATAATTCTCAAACCAGCTCTGTGATAGTAGAGAATGTGCTCTTATCTGCTCCATGGCCAGTGACATTTTGGGGATAAATGCCCAGAGTAGAACAGGTCAGTGAACCTCTGGCTCCATCCATGCTTGGTTTGGAACAAAGGACAGGGGAAGGAAGGAAGGAAAGAAAGAGGGGGATCTCCACCCCACAACCCTCCGCTGACATCATACACTCTGGGAAGCTCCTGACTCAGGCCCCCTCTCAGGCACTCCTCCCCACTACGACTAGGGCTGCCCTTATTCAGCCACACAGAGTCAAGGCTTGAGGTGAGTCAGGGGCCAGGATCCCAGCCAAGTGGAGAGGCTTCAGAGGCCACTCGTGGGCAGAGTAGTGCTGACATTTCCCCCATCCAGTCCGTATCTCAGTGTGGAGGAGGGTGATGAATGTGATCCATCTATGGGAAAGGAAACCCAGGCTCATAGATGTCATCTGGGCACCTAAGGCTCCAGAGGCTGGATGAGGACCAGCTTTGCTGAACTCCAAAGCTGGGGCATCCTCACCATGTGCCAGGTAGAGCATATAAGGTCCTGGACTTGCAGCTGGGCCCACTCAGTGCCAAGGGCACAGTCAGGGATCCTGACCCCAACCCAGACCTGGCCATGGGCCAAGCACAAACAGAGGCTCCCTCACAGGCCTTTCCACTATGTTTAATGGCTCCGAGCCAGTGGCTCACCTCCCACCCTGCCAGCTCAGAGGCATAGTTAGCTGTGTTGTGGTTTGGGAGGCTTCGCCCACACCCTTCCATGGGGGGTTGTGAAAGTCCCTGTCAGGAGTGAACATGGCAGAGCTGATAAATTATGCCTGATTTCTGTGGATCAAGGTGGGGCTGGGGAGCGGGGAGATCCCACTCAGCCGGGCTTAGGCCAACTGCTTCTCAGAGCTGAGTAAAGACCCAGGACTTGAGCAAGGCTAGGTTCCCTTACCCAGTCCCCTGCTGGACCTTCCATCCCAGGACCATTGATGGGGCTTGGAAACCCACTGTCCTCCCCTATTTGGTAGGCTACACAGCATTACACAGTCCATAGCAGGAACTTTTCCCAAATCCAGATTTAACCAGGGCAGAGGTGTGGGCCATGGTGGGGACAGCTGTGGGGCTGGTAGGAGTGGTCAGCAGCCAAGTGAAGGGTCTGTAGTCTTAGGAGAAAGCCCCGAGGTCAAATTTTGCTATCCCACTCCCTCTCTGTGTGACTTTAAGCACCTTCTAACCTTTCTGAGCCTCACTTGTCTCATCTGTGAAGTGGGGACTATAGTAGGTTTTACCTTTTTTAAGTTGGTAAATGACAGTTAAGTGAGGTGTTGCATAAGAAACTACTTTGAAATGGTCATCAAGCTGGTCACTCAGGGGAGGGGAAAGGACTGACACAAATGTCCCAGAGGCTTTTGAAGGTCTTATTACAGTCGCCTGCAGCACTTGCCATAAGTGCCCCAACACACTTCTAGCCTAAATTAAAAGGGTATTTCTTCCCTTCTTAAGCTACCTGTAGCTTTAAACAGTATCTGCCAGGACCTCATGAAAGTGCTATTCCTTGGGACTGTGTCTGGATGGAGCACCCAGAAGGTGAAGCAGAGAGGCTGTGTGAAGCTGGGCTCACCCAATATGCTGGCTGCCCATAACTGCCCACGTGGTCCCTCCATCCTCCCAGCCCAGCCCACCCTGCACATACCTGCTCACAGAGAGTGTGAGGTGATCGTGGCAGCCCTTGATGCGGTTCTGTGCCTCCAGGTGTGTCATGAGCTCGGTGCTCTCACCATTGATGGCCTGGATCAGGTCTCCTGGGCACAGGGCAGCCAATGCAGCCTTGCTGCCAGCATGGACCTGCGGGCAGACAGGCCAGATGGCTGGGCACAGTCATGATGTAGCCTTACTGTGGTCTCTGCTCTAGACCTCCTCCAACCTCAGAACCTAGCCAGGGTGGCCTGCTACCAGCATAGCCTGTGGATGGGCAAACCGAGAGGCTGGTTGAGGTCCCCATGTAGCCTGGCTGCAGCCTTGCTGGAAATACCTCCAACTCCAACACCTGGAGGCCTCACAGGGAATGGAGGTATATGAGAAGGGCTTCCTCTGGGCTCCTGCAGCCTAGATATGTGCCCAAGGACACGCAGGAGACACAGAGACACATGGAGACATATGTGCTCACAGATACATACAGAGCATGGACATGTCACAGATACCCTACATAGACAAGGCCCCACCCAGACAGACTATACCCCTTGACCTAACATTCAAACCCTTAGTGACTTTGCCTTCCTACTTACTTGATCTCATCTCTCATCCCCACCTCCACACCCACATTTTGTCCAGACCATCTAAATGTCTATGGGGGGGCTTATAGGTACCATATGTCGCTCACCTCCACACTTCTGCAAAAGCTGATCTCTCTACCTGGAATACTCTTCCTTTGACTCCCACACCCTCATCCTCCAGGTCTCAGCATAGATGCCACTTCCTCCAGGAGCCTCTCTGGGATCTCACTACCCTGTTTGCTCCCACCTTTCCCCCTTAAATTGTTCATGTTAATACTGCATTATAATTAAAGTGGGAAGGTCTTCTGGGTGCAGTGGTTCATGCCTGTAATCCCAGCACTTTGGGAGGCCAAGGTGGGCAAATCACGAGGTCAGGAGATCAAGACTATCCTGGCCAACATAGTGAAAGCCCATCTCTACTAAAAATAGAAAAATTAGCTGGGCGTGGTGGCAGATGCTGTAGTCGCAGCTATTCAGGAGGCTGAGGCAGAGGAATTGCTTCAACCAGGGAGTCAGAGGTTGCAGTGAGCCAAGATCGTGCCACTGCACTTCTGCCTGGCGACAGAGCAAGACACCATTTCTAAATAAATAAATAAAGGGAAGATCTGAACATCACCTCCCTGGGCAAGTCCAGGGCTATCCAGTTCCAGTTGCCAGTCTGGACTTGGGGGTCAGAGTTCTACCTCTACTTTTCCTGCAGGACAGGAACTCAGGCCTCAGTGCACTACTGACCCCTCAGGGTCAAGCAGTGTTCACATCTGGAAGCTCTTACAATGCTGGTCAACTAAAGAAGGGTAGGACAGGGGGTGGAGTTAGACTCACAGAGAGACCTACATAGGCAAACCAGGGGAATCTAGGCAATAGAGCACCCCTCACCCTGCCCTGGTCCCAACAAAGCCTTTAGAAATAGATTTCCTACCCAGCCTCTCCAGCTAGTGCCCAGCTGGTTCAAGAGCTGCCAGTAACCCCGTTCTTTTGGATGGGAGCTCCTACTGGTGGGAACTCCTGGAAGCCCAGCCAGGCTCAGTTCAGCCAGGTCTCAGTAGTGAGTAGATAAACCTGATGTGCTGGCAGCTCCTTGGCTGGAGGCCTGATGTTGGCACTGCCCAAGGTGACGTTCTGAAGCATGACACCTTTAGCCAACCATCCCATCATTAATGTTTACTTGTAGGGCCTGGGTACCTGTGCAAGCCTGTCATCCTGGGGGAGACACACACTTTGTACCATCCCACCCTCCCCTCAAGGCCCTCCTCCGGCCTCCTCCCCTTTATGGATACTTGCCTTGTGCCAGGGCCTGGGCTCCATGCTTTACCCATAACTAGCTCACAGCAACCCCTCAACCACCTGGTATGGCAGAGGCTGTTCTCGTCTCTATTTTACAGATGAAGAAAGAGAAGCTTGGGGGAGGGGTGCCATGCCCTAGTCCCCACACCAGAGAGAAATCTTTCTTTAGGGGGCGGCTAACTGCGGCAGGATGACTCAGCCAGCACAAGGGGTACATTCAGGCTTCTGTGGGTGGAGGAAGTTTCTTGAAAGCAGGGGTGGCTGGGATGCTGCCAGTACTACTGAGCTAGGGGAGTTCAGGTCAGAGAGGGCATGAGGCCAGGAAATTGTGACTGTCTCAGCCACCTTTACATGCATTATCTCATTAATCCTGAAAGCAAGCCCATTTCCTAGATGAGGAAACCGAGGTCCCGAGAAGCAGAGGATAGTTAATTGATAAAAGACTGAATCAAGATTTCAATCGAGGCCACCTGGTTCCAAATTTAAAACTATGCTCTTAACACCTGTACTTTTCTTCCAAAAGAGGTGAGTGAAGAGAGAGTGTCCCAGGGAGAGGCTGTTCCAGGCAGAAGGACCAACACGTATAACGGCATATCTGGAGAGAAAGTAGGAGGGTTGTATGGCCCAAGCATCATTAGTGAGGGGAGAGTGGAAGAGATGAAGTCAGAAAAGAGGCAGGGACCAGATCTTGCAGAGTCTTGTACACCTGGGTGGGAAGCTGGCATTTCTCCTGGGTGGCTGGAAACCATGGAGGGCTCTAAGCAGGGAAGTCACAGGACAGACTGGAGTTCAGGCTGATCCCCCTAGCACCTAAGTACAAGATAAACAGAAAGAAGGAACAGAGAGAGGAACAGTGAAGTGAGGTACGTGGCAAGGGCATGAATCAGCCCCTCACCGGTAGTGGCTGCATTCCCAGCCCCTGCTCCACCAGCCTAGATGTTGTGGGCTGGGAGACCAAGTCAGAACCAGGTGCCACATTGTCCCGCACAGTCACAGCAAACTCCAGACTGCCTGGATTCCTCCTGTCTCCACTCTACTTCTCTGGGTCTTTTACATTAGCCTCTCTGTGCCTGCGTCTCCATCTGTGTAAGGCCAGAGGGAGTCCTTACTTCTAAAGGCTGTTGTTAAGGACTACTTGAGAAAATCAGGGCATGTAAAGCCCCCAAAGGAGGCTGGGCATAAGGTGGTGCTCATTCCAGGGACTGGTTCCCGGGAGGGAGCTGTTACCAACACCCATTAGGGTGGGGCCTGGCACACCCTGGATGCTTGGCCGAGGACAGCCATCATTATAGCCCTCACTGCCAGGTCCCTGGGGCCGAATGAGGTGGGCCTTGAACATATCCTGAACCTTTCATCTCCCACTGAGGGGAAGGAGCCCCAGATGATGTTCTTGGGGCTCCCCAAGGCTTCATGGGCTGAGACTGCAAGCCCTGAGCACTGCCGGGCCTATAGCCTCCTCCCTGTCTGTGTGAGGCTGGCCTTCCCTACCAGGTCCGGGATAGGAGAGGCCCTGGAAACAAGAGAGGGGCTGGATCTTGAGCCCCCTTGGTAAAGACACTCCCACATATCTTCAGTCCCTGTAGACCTGCCCTGGAGGTACCTGCTAGGCAAGCTGCAGCCTGTGCCTCTCCAGTGCTGGAAATCTCCCCAGATCCCACCCAAACCCAATCTCAGCCATCCTGGCTCCTTGGGCCTGAGTTGCTGCCGCGTGACTTTGGGGGACAAGGGAGGCTCTTCCTGGCAAACCCTCTCCCAGATTGCCTGCCTGCCTGAGGCCTGCATCTCCAGTCAGCTCCAAACAAGGCCGTTGCTGCTGCCGCTGCTGCCGTAGCTGGGGCTGTGACGTGTGGGGGCCTATCCTCCGCGGGCAGGCAGCCGCGTGGGCAACAGATGTCTCAGCTCCCTGCCGCCTGCAGCCGTCAGCCGCCGCCACTGAGCCTGTCAGCGGCCTCACGCCCAGGGTGCCTGGCCAGCCGGCCTAGTGCCCCCACCAGCCCCCTCAGCGGACACACAGCATGACACACACAAGCAGACACAGAGGCTTGCGTGTGCGTACACGCACACACGCGCGTGCACACACACACACACACACACACACAGCAGGAATCCCATAAGCGGGAGATGAAAGGCTCCGCGATGTGTTGAAGGCCCACCTCACTCCGCCCCAGAGACCTGGCAGTAAGGGCAGATGTGGGAAGCCTCCTAGGACAGCTGGGCCTGCCTGTCACCCTGGCCCCCAGAAATGGGATTCCATGATTCCACGCTCCACCCGGTGCCCACCCCCTCCCAAGAACTGGAGAGAAGTCTCTGAAAGCCCAGCCAGCTCAACCCAGCCCCCATTGCAAGAGGTAGCAGTAGGGTGGGGTAAGGTGCTTCTCTGTGACTCTAACATAGCCCCCAAAGACAAGATCAGCCTGTGTGGGAGCAAGGGATGGCCCTCAGATCGTCCCAGGTCATCTCCTCTGCTCCTTCCAGACTGAGAGCCGCCAAGGGCAGGGCCTGGGTTCTCTCCTCTTCTGTCCCTTAGGCTGGGACTCCCAAGGACAGGGTCTGAGTCCTCTCTTCTGCCCCTCCACATGGGCCAGGATCCTGTCTCCCCTAGACAGGCACCCCCTCAAGCAGGGCCTGAGTCACCTCTTCCACTCCTCTATCCTCAGAGCAGCCACCCTCCAGGGCTGTGCCCACTCCTTTTCCTCCTCTGTCCCAAGCTTGGGGCAAGGCAGGGCCCTGGGAAACTTGAAGAACTGGCCTGAGGCTATCCCAGCCCCTGGCTTTGTGTTGTCTTGCGGGGAGGGGTCTCACAACCTCACAATTAAGGCTCCCTTTCCCCTGGAAGCCAAAAATTCCTCCTAGTCACTTCTCCTTAGGGTGACTGAGGTCATGAATGAGAAACTGACTCACATCAAAGTGGGAAGTGGATGGACCTTTCACTTCTCGGATTCAGCGAGGACCCCAGACCTCCCAGGGTCACCCAGCTCTGCAGGCAGCGACCCTTGATAGGGGAGGGGGGCTCTAAATCATTTTGCCCCAGATCTTCAGGCAGGGATGAGTCTGAAAAGTTTCTGGGCCTCTGTAGGGCTGTCTAGACCCCTGGCCCATCTCTGCCGGTCCTTCCCGGGTCCACAGCGGCTACCCGTAGATGAGGCCAGCGCGGAGGCCGGTGCGTGAACTCTTGGGAGACTCTCCGCGGGATCTGGCAGGCAGGCCCAGCGCGGGAGGAGGGCGGCTGGGGCTGCCTGCCCTGCCTGGAAGCCGCCTCTACAGCGTGCGGGACACCCAGGCCAACCCTCCGCCTTCCAGCCTCGGATACCTCGGATACCTAGGGGATCTGGGTCCCGGGCGGACCGCGAGGACCCGGTCTCAGACCCGGGACCGCTCTGCCGCCCCGCAGCCGCCGGACTCACCCTCGAGATGGTGAGGGGCGCGCTGAAGTCCCGGCCGCCCACCAGGCGGAAGCCCCAGGGCGAAGGCCCGCGCAGGGTCACGGAATGGTGCATCGCGGGCCGGAGCCGCAGCCGGAGTCTGAGCCGGACTCTGAGGAGCCGCCGCCACCGCCGCCGCCTGGACGCCGCGCCCCGCCCCCGGCCCGCCCGTCCCCGTTTCCCTCGGCCCGGCCCCCGCCCCCGCTCCCGGCGCGCCCGGCGCGCCCGGATTGGCCCCGTGGCCGGCCCGACCCTCCCACTTCGGGGGCTCTGAGGACCCGCCCTCAGTCCCGGCTGCCTGCAACCCGGCACCTCCAGCCAGCTCTCAAGAGACCCCCGGGTTTGGACGGCCCCGACGGCCTGGATCCTGCTTCAGGCCTCAGATCTGCGGGCGGCGGACCCAAACCCGGCTGCCGACACCGGCCCTTTGAAGTCCCTTCTAGGGGCGGTGCTCCAGCCCTAGGAAGGACTGGGGGGCCCACTTGAGGGATGGGGCTGCGCCCAGCTCAGATTCTCCTCAGGGGTCCTCCTTGCAAACCTGCGGCCCATCCTGTCGTGTGAAGAGCCCGCTGAACCAAGAGCCCTCTGAACCAAGGGCCTGCGCAGCACTGGGTCAGAGACGCAGACCCAAGACGACAGCAGGTAGCGCAGAGCATGGGAGTGGACGCAGAAGGGTCCTCAGGGTAGTTTGTGGAGACCAGTAAGGCTTCCTGGAAGAGAGGGCCCCTGACTTGCATCTGGAAGGAAGGTGTCCCTGCATCCCCAGGACACTCAGGGCTTCTCTTGCTGCTCACAGGCTCCTTGCAGGCCACCTCCCGGTCTGCACAGCCCTCTCCCCTCGTCCTTTGCCAGGAGCTTCGTTTCCCCAGGTCTCCGGAGAAAGGAGCAGCTGGAGCACCTGGGGTCGTGGCTGTGCAGTGTGAAGGGAAGAAATATGTGCAGCTCTTCACCTTGGGCCCTTCTCTCTCCAAGGTCTTCTCTCCATTCCCAGCCATTATCCTCTGGGGTGTCCTTGAACAGCCACTGCAGGCACCATGGCACCACCACCCACCCACTGGCTCTCCCGGCCCTTCTGTCTGGCTGCATCAGGGAGACACCATTTGCTTCTCCAGACCCTGTGAGGGCCTCTAATTTAGCCCACATCCCTAACGAACCTCTGTTGCCTTTTAGCCAAACTGTGATAAGGGCCCTGTTCTTGGGCTCCTCACAGGTGGTGGGGTGAGATGTGCCCACTGGGTCTCTGCAACCCCCAAAGAGGCGGACTACTTGAGAGGCGCAAACCTAGGGCAGTCCAAGGAGGGGAGGGGCCCTTCAGGGTAGAATGTGGGTGTCTCTGTGGGAGGCAAGATGCTGCTATCTGTTCAGCTGGGAGAGAAACAAGTGGTGTGTGGTAGTGGTGTGTAAATGGGAGTGTGGTGCGTTTGGGGTGTCTGAATCCATTAGCGCACCAGCCATTGGGCTGTTCTCCATCACTCTGTGGTGCAGGAGGTTTCTGCTCAGCCCTATGCAGAGTTGGACTCCAAGTAGACAAAGGTGGAAGGGCCAGCAGGAGAACTAGTCCCTGCATGGTCTCTCTGAGGTCTGTAGGCCAGAAGCTCCCCAGGACTTAGACCCTACTAATTGGGGTAGAAAGTGGGAGGCAGCCATCCCTTTCACTGACTGTCCTGAGAGCTGGGTGTACAGCATGGCCTGTGGTCAGAGGTCCCTTAGCTGGACTCCAAGAGTCCTAGTGAATGTAAACAGTGCAGAGCTTTGCTGAGGGGAAGGGATCCTCAAGGGTCTGCATAAGCTTCCACCCAATGCATCTCACAGTGGATTCCTGAAACTCCTCTTTCGACATTGCTTGCTTCCCCCAGTTTTATACCCTCAAAACTGCCCACACTGCTTGCCTCCATCCTGAAATTCCCTCATTACCCATTTACTTCTGTCAGGGGGAATGTGAAGTGGTCCTCCTGAATATGACCTTCCTGGCCCCTCAGTCTCTGGGTAGTGTAATCCATCTCGAAAGGCTTCTGTTACAGGGTTGGGGGTGAAGGCAGGGTAGGGACTCTGGAGGACGTTTTTTAGAATCTGGTCCATTGACTTCCCCATTGCATTGTGCAGTGTCTGGACAGATTGGAATGATACAGGATCCAGGTCCAGGCCAGTCATCCCTCACATGGGCTCGTGATGACATCCTTGACTTAAGAGAACATCAGGTTTAC